TCTGCGGGGATGAGGCCGGAGAGGCGGTTGTTGGAGAGGTGAAGGAGGGTGAGGTTGGACAGGCTGCCGAGCTCGGGGGGAATGGTGCCAGAGAGGCTATTGAAGTAGAGGAAGAGGCTGATGAGGTTGGAGAGGCGGCCGAGCTCGTGGGGGATGATGCCGGAGAGTTCGTTGGACGTGAGGTAGAGCTGGGTGAGGCCGGTCAGGCTGCCCAGCTCGGAGGGAATGGGGCCGGAGAGGTTGTTGTAGGAGAGGTCGAGAAGGGCGAGTCTGGCAAGGCTGCCCAGCTCGGCGGGGATAGGGCCAGAGAGGTCGTTGTAGGAGAGGTCGAGGAGGGTGGGTCTGGTGAGGCTGCCAAGCTCGGCGGGGATAGGGCCGGAGAGGTCGTTGTAGGAGAGGTCGAGGAAGGTGAGGTTGGACAGGTTGCCGAACGCGGAAGGAATGCTGCCGGAGAGGCTGTTGTTGGAAAGGGAGAGGTTGGTGAGTCTGGTCAGATGGCCGAGCTCGGCGGGGATGGAGCCGGAGAGGTTGTTGGAGGCGAGGAAGAGGAAGGTGAGATTGGACAGGCTGCCGAGCTCGGGGGGAATGGTGCCGGACAGGGGATTGATAGAGAGATAGAGGTGGTTCAGGTTAGACAGGCGGCCGATCTCGGGAGGAATGTTGCCGGATAGGCGGTTGATCGGGAGGTAGAGGAAGGTGAGGTTGGACAGGCTGCCGAGCTCGGGGGGAATGTTGCCGGAGAGGCTGTTGTTGTAGAGGTCGAGGCTGGTGAGTTTGGACAGACGGCCAAGCGCGGCGGGGATGGGGCCAGAGAGGTTGTTGGAGAAGAGGTAAAGAAGGGTGAGGTTGGACAGGCGACCAAGCTCGACGGGAATGTGGCCAGACAGCTCGTTGAAGGAGAGGGAGAGGCTGGTGAGTGCGTTCAGGTCGCCGAGCTCGGGGGGGATGGGGCCCGAGAGGCGGTTGTAGGAGAGGGAGAGGTTGGTGAGTCCGGTTAGGTCACCGAGCTCAGGAGGGATGGGGCCGGAGAGTCGGTTGGAGGAGAGGGAGAGTTCGGTGAGTTGGGTCAGACGGCCGAGCTCGGGTGGGATGGGGCCGGAGAGGTTGTTGTAGGAGAGGTCGAGGGAAGTGAGGTTGGTCAGGTCGCCGAGCTCTGGGGGGATCCGGCCGGATAACTCGCCGCCGCTGATCATGATGCTCGTCTGGTTCCAGAGTGGGCCCTGGACGAGATCGTCGATCTCCTCCATGGTTGCGGACCATACTCCTCTCAAGAGCCCCGATGCACAGAGGAGCCCCAATATTGAGAAAGTATAGCGCAGGGTTCCAGCCGGTATGGGGGCCATGGTGATACCTGAAAGTGCAAGAAGGTAATTGAATAAGCCCCAGCTCAAGCGATTGGCTCCCTCTATCATGAAGGGCGATGGGTCACAGATTCCACCCCCAAGTCTGCACCACACACCCTTGCACATGACGACCACAAAGAACCTTGCATAAGCTCGTCAAAAGCCTGCTGCGACATGCCGCTCCAAATTCTGCAGTACAATCATCATCAGGTGACATTGCAATGCTACAAAGAATCTTCAAGGAATGAAGCAGTATTCCAAGGAATGAGCACATGACCCAGGAAGTGGGGTACAATATACCGCCGGGCCTAGGCAGAAAACTTCGCATATGGACTCACGTGTGGATACAGATCAATGATGCGGACGCATCTCCTTGTAGTTGGCTCCTCGAGGCAGCAGAGAGCAGCGCTTCCCAGATATATTCACCGTCCACTTTCCAAGGCCATTCCTCCACTGAGTAGTTCCAGGAGCGCTGTGAATGTGGTGGGCTTTTTAATTCAAAGAGGGAGATCCTTCTCCACTCCAAGAGGAACATTCGAGGAGGGGAACTCCGTGGAAGGAAGCGGGATCGTCCGCCCTGGCTAGTCTTGGAACCTCTGCCAATCACAATGTATCTGTACCTGATTCGTGTATTGTTTCCTTTCAAGATGTGTGGACATTCAGTGCGCGGTGCAGGGCAATGTGGTCCAGAAGTGCCGAGCATTCTGTGTCATCGAAGGTGTCCGTACATCATGACGTCGTCATGAGAGGCAAATGTCAACACTTATCCCGCCTGGGGAGCCAATGCACCCGTGAGTAGCAGACGAGCAGTACGGACACATTGCCGGAAACAATGTTCACAGCAGCCTGACACCTACAAATCAGTACAGGCGCGCGGACTCGCGTTTCGGTTTGCCACGTGACATGACTGGTCCGCGAGCGCGCGCTGAAGAAATGATCATTTTCCGAAAGGTTCGCGAGTGCGCGCACTTCCATAATAGTAGTAAATGGTATGACCGCGACCGCGAAAAACCAAGAGCGGGTATTCGACATCTGGCAATCCCAGTCCGCGAACGTGAACACATCATGGAGCTTGCTGTATCGGAGTCACATCCATGATCCACGACCGAATCCATGACACAAGGCATGCCATGTACATTTACAAGCTTGCGTAGCAATTATGGAGTTGCCGCTTCAAGTCCCAATCTGAGGCTCTATGTCGAACAATGGACCATTATCAACGAAAACTACGTTTGAATCGCATGCTCGAAAAAGAACGGAACCTTAGGATATAAGACCACATGTTGTTAGCCTAGTGGCAGACGGGACTGTTTGTTTTGACGTCCGGAGGGGTAAGGACGCGCGTGATTTATTTACCGTGTGGACGCTAGATTCTTTTTATCAAAGGGTCGCAACCCATCGCTTGAATACTTTCTTCAACTCGCCACCTTGTGACTCAACCCCTCCACTTCTTCGTCCGCGCTCGGCTCGGTGGTCAGCGTCACGAGACTCGGCTGCCCCGCACCATTGAATCGGTCCAAGAACACCCGGAAAAGCGACCTGCCCTCGTACACCGCCTCCCAGAGCATGGTGCAGTAATGCACCGACAGACTGCACAGCGACACCACGATGGACTGCACGAAGATGCGCTGGTCGATGTAGATGCGGGTCGCCCTCGAGCTCCCTATTATGTACAGTCCGGTCTGGAACACCGCCTGGGGCAGCGACTCCAGGAGCAACTCGACGACCACCCGAGACTCGTGATAGCGCTCGAAAACGACGATCCGGTCCCCGGTCGCCAGATGAAGCCCGAACCTCTCCGCCACGGACAGCAGGTCCTGGACGAGCACCCCCAAGAGGCTCAGGGGCAGCAGCAGGATTGCCAGTACCGCGGCGCGTGGGGACCACCCGTCCGACGTCCTCGGCTGCTCATCACTCAGAGCCGGCAGTGGCCACAGCCATCTGACCCGCAATCCCTTCCACCCGCGCACCGGACTCCCGCTCGACGACCAGGCCTTGGCCACCGCGAAAGACGCCCATAAGAACGGCACGCAGACCGACGCCAGCACCAGCCACATCGGCCACGCCCCCCAGACCTCGCTCAGCACCAGAAAGTCGGTGATGACGTCCACGACGGGCAGGACGCCCATTGCAGCTCCCCACAGGTAAAGCCCAGCAAGCCTGAAGTTGCGGAGGCATGCGCAAGGATTAAGAATCCCTTCCAAACAACAAATCTCATCACGGCGGCTTGACCAGATCACCAGAGATTCAAAGTGCTGAAAGTCGGGCAGGAGGAGAGACGTCTTCGAACTCCAAAACCATCCCAACGACTTACCCGAGTCGCCCCCCATCTGCAGTCTCGAGCCCTGCACCCTGGACTCGACGGCGCCAGCGGGCCACCAGGAGGATGGAGATGGTCCCCAGAAGCAAGAGGACGGCGAATACCACGAAGACGAGCGCCGTGACCACCTTCGCCTCGGGGTTGCCGCAGAGATTGCCTGCCTGGACCCTCGAAAAGCCGACCCCCGTGTACGCTCTGCCTTCGCGACCCAGGTCGATCAGATCCACAAAGTTCGGGTCTGCCAAGGTGTAGTTCCCCTGCGCGTTTCTGAGAACGCCCAAAAACCGGCGAGAAGCCTGAGGTCCTTCGAACAGCGGGATGGGAATGTCCCCCGAGAGGAAGACCGATATCGGACTCAAGCACACCTTCCTGCGAGTGCTGCGGGACAATCTCGCCCCGGTGCCCGCCAAGCTCACAATGCAGCCCTTCTCGCAAGCTCCCCAGAACCGGATGCTCTCGAGATTGGGGTGCGAGCCTGTCATGTTGACGATTTTGCAAGTTTCTGGCACAGACGAGAGATCCAGGTGTCTGGTGGGATTGTTGTTGTTCACGGATAGCGATAAGTAGGTCAGATTGTTGTGCTCGAAAGAAGGGGGTGGCGCGTCAGGTAGGCCCAGGTTCGTGATCTTTCTCATACGAGACAAGTCAAGCGCTTCGCAGGTCGTGCCTGTGAAGCTAAGGTTGAGGGTACTGATGGCAAGCAGATGATTGAACTCAGACGGGATGGGGCCGGAGAGGTCGTTAGAGGAGAGGTCGAGCCTGGTGAGTTGTGTCAGGCGGCCGAGCTCGGAGGAGATGGGTCCGAGAGGCCGTTGGATGAGAGGTCGAGGTAGGAGAGTCGGGTCAGGCGGCCGAGCTCGGAGGAGATAGGACCGGAGAGGTTGTTTGATGCAAGGCTGAGTGTGAGGAGTCCGGTCAGGCGGCCGA